TCCCTGCGCCTCGGCCCCTGCGAACTTGGCCCTGGGTGTCTGCGGGTCTGACGGCCCTGCCTGTGTATTTGACTGGGCAGTTCTTGAACCTGGGGAAGGTGTGAACAAGACAGAGTCCTCGTGGCCAGACCCAAAGCTTCCGGGAGGATAGGGCCCAGGCATTTCTCTGCCTTTTTAACAGCATCCAGATGGTTCTGAAGGTGGTCCAAGGGCCAAGCTTTGAATAACGCTGGTCTGAGTTCTCCGGGAAAAGTTAGGAAAGTGACTTTCTCGACCATTAGGTGTCACTCAAAGCATAATTCTTAGCGACCATCAGATAGCCTCCGAATTTGGATATATTCATCTAAAAACATTCATTGTTGCCTTTTGGAAATCATCGTCCTTAATTCTTTTCAGTAGTTGTAACATTATACAAGTCCTGGCACCAAGATAATGGATTCTTTCTAGGAAGCCTAGTTTCAACATTTATTTGGGATTTAAGATCTACTTTAAGAAAGGATTTGAGATAATTTGCAACAATGAAACACACACAAAATAGAATGATAAAAAAATTAGAATTGGCTTGTTTTAAAAAAAATGCAACCACTGTTCAGAAGCCACGTAGAAGGAGAACAGATGTATTAGGAATCTGAGAGGAGTTAGTCACTGCTATGAGCAGTAACATTACCCTTGAGTTTCTGGCCACTAACGCAAAATTAAAGCAGAGAAATCCAATCCAGTAAACCCTCAATATTTGTAAGGCATATGTCCTAAGACCATTGGAAATCCTCAAATTTGGGGATGTCATTCTAGAGTGTAATTTTTCTCCATAGAATTGGTATATGGTCATCAGTGGGGGACAAAGAAGCCACATTGATATCTGAATGCTGAGTGGTGGCCGGGCACCTTCACTAGCTGTGAGATTCAGTCCCACACACCAGCCTCAGTGCATATGATTCAAATTCCTGCTGCTATAACACTTTGTGTCGGAGGCTGTCAGGGGCCCTTATGCATACTGTCCGTGAATGTCAAGGGGCTCCTTTGTTTAAGTTGAGGATTCTTATCTGGTACCTTTGATGCTGATTTATAAAGAGAGAAGGAGAGGAAGGGGCAGAATAGTTCCACTAATCCTGGTCACCTGTAGAATAGCAAATCGGTTGTAACAAAGTTTCTCCTTTGATGTGAAATTTGATTGGAGTATTTAGGGCACAGGGTTCTTTTCCTTCTCTCCATAGACTGATATCAATTATTATGTTCACATAGTGAGTTAAAAATCCTAGAGAAGCGTCAGTAGAGCTGGAATCTAATCCTGCCTCTGGCATTCACCACAGATGTGGTTTTAGACCAACTGCTCCAACTCTCAGAACCCCCGTTTCTCCCTTTGGAAGGCGGGGATAAAATGTCTACCTCACAGAGGTGAGACGTGCACCGTGCAATGGGAGGATTATAACAAGTGTTTAGATCAGGGGTCCTCAAACTTTTTAAACAGGGGTTGCAATGGGAGGATCATAACAACTGTTTAGATAGTTGAGTCAGATTTCTCTTCTGTGCCCCAGAGACTATCTATATACAGACTGGACCACATTAACTAGCATATGTCTGGGGAGGTTTTGAATAAGTGCATCAAGTCAGCCACTCCCATATGCTGTGATTCTTTGGGCTCTACGTCAGGCATCCTTGGTTACCTCAAGGAATATTCTGAAATCCTCAAATGGGAATTGGAGTATGTTCTGCATCTGGTTGAGTTAGAATTTTAAAATCAAGCTAACAAATGATACCTGGGGGCAATTCCACCAAGATAGGAAGATATTGCCTGAACGAGTTAAAACTGGTGTTCCAAAGGCCTAACTAGAGGATAATTGTACAATGTTAATCTCTAACTTGGACCATGGGAATGACATTTCAAATTTTTATAGCTCTTTCCCCACCATTACATCACACACAGTGGAGTCAATTAGCTGGCCTTAAATTACTTCTGAGATATGGGGCGGTTGCGATTATTCACCCCATTTCCTGAAGGAGGAACTGAAGCAGAGAGAAGTTAAACTTGACCAAGATTACAAAATGGGTAAGCCAAGAGTGAAATGTCTGGTTTCTTTATCCTTGTAACTTACTGAGAACATTTTCCTAAGGTGTAGCCTTGCAAATAGGATCAAAGCATGTGAAATGCACATGCCCAGCCAGTGGCCACTGCTGACCAACAGGATCTAGATCCAATAATGAACAGAATACTTAGCATTTACTTCTGAACAACTTACAGCGGTACACTAGAAGGTGAAAATTTTCAAAATACAAAAATATAAAAGAATCCCTCTTATAAAACATTTCTGAAGTGTTTGTTTACAGATTATTAAATGCTTAATGAGAGAAACTTAAAGCTAAAATGTGCTAAGCTGCTACTGATTAAGAATATTAGTCAGAAATTAAAATGAACTAGATCACCAAGTAAAAGATTTAAAAGATGGATATTTATATATGTGGCTTAATAGTTGTGGGAAGCTACCACTTGCCAATACTGTCACGAGAGTGCACCAAGGAACGCAGAAGGCCGATGGACCTTGGGCTTTAGCAGGTCTGACGTTATGCACCGATTGTTGAGATAGTGGTGGCTCAAGGCAATTCCCTAACCTGATAATCCTTTTACTGTTTACCAAACTTTACCTTTGATATGCCTGTATGCATTGCTAAAGGGCAAATGTGTATTCAAGTAAATAAAA